TTATTAGGGGCGACTTACCCCTCTCTACTCGGTGGTCTCATTATTATGGGGCACCTGTCCCTCTACTAGTGGTCTCATTGTCATAGGCAACCCGCCCTTACTTGTTGTTTTATTGTTACGGATGACTAACCCCTTACCGGTGGTCTCATTGTCATGGGCGACCTACCCTTCTACTAGTGATCTCATTGCCACGGATGACTTGCCACTTTATCGCTAGTCTTATTGTTACGGATGACCTACTCCTTATTGATGGTCTCGTTATCACGGATGACCTACTCCTTTACTAGCAGTCTTATCAACATGATTTTAAAGCTGTTCTAAAGAATGCATAAGAAAATGTGAGAGTACATGATAGGATTGCACTAAAATTAATTCATAGAGTTCGGGGGATTGACTGATTTTTTTTTTTTTGTAATAGTGTATATCTTTGTAGAAATAAAGATAATACGTAATATTTTAATAAGATTAAGTGGGAGATAAATGAATATTTTTTATTTAAATATTATTATGGATTTTTACGGATAGTTTCTCGTAGAATAAGAGTTGGTTAATAAAAAATTATAGTGTAACACGATTGTGTATGTTAGTTAAGAGTTGTAATCTAATAGATTTGTATTTGTTAGTTAAAAGTTGTAATGAATATACATATTTCACTACAACAAAATAAAGGTATATAGGCGATATGATTGAGGCGGTTTAGAAAACCACCTCAAAATTTAATGATTTTATACTTGATCTACTTTGTATAAAAACAAATATGAGATAGTTTATAAAATCGCCCCAAATTTTAAAGAGAAGTGCACTATTTTATTTCTTAATATATATTTTTCGGTTCCGAAAGGGGGATGTTTAATTGCCCTTCTCCTTCAGGGTTTTGCTTTTTTCTACTTCACTTATTCTCCTCTCGTTTTTCCTTCTTATCTTTTTTTTCGATTTTGAAAGGGAGAAGATCGGACCTTCATTGTTGAGAGTTTTCCTTCTTCTCATCCGCTTCTTCTCCTTTACTTCTTCCTTCTTATTTTTTTTTTTTTTGGGTTCGAAAGGGAGAAGAGACGCTTTATTAACCCTTTCCTCTTAGGGTTTTCCTTCTTCTCCTTTGTTTCTTCCTTCTTCACCTTTATTTCTTCCTTCTTCTCCTCTAGTTCGTCCTCTTCTCCTTCTTATTAGAAACTAAATTATAACTATCTACCGAACAACCAAATTTGTAATTTTAAGAGTCTTTCCTATCCATAAATTGGCTTATTTCAAATCAATTGGGTGCTCACTGTTGATTTTCTTATTGATCTCTCTAATGGTAAGTATGCTAAATTAATTTTGTATGTGTTCTTTTCTCTCTATTTTTAATTAATTTTTTGATGTATCCATCGTTATTCAATTAGATGCGGTGGTAGAGCTCGAGTATGAGGGAATAAAGCATTTTGTGCTCAAATTGTTACTTTTTTGTAGTAAACAAAGCAATTCTATTCAAAGGACCAATGAGGTGTACCATCGAATTGTTTCACAAGTATATAAACCTCGCCATTTATGAAAGTGAGTTCGGTTTCATGCTCCTACTCATTATGGAAACAACAATACCGATCTTACCCTCTATTTTGCCTTTTTTTTATTATTGTTTAAATGGACCATTTCACCCAATAAGTTTGTGTGGTTGGGGTTATCATGGGTTTAAGCATTTTATGTTATATTGTCATAGACAATACATATGCCGCTAGGTGGATCATAATTGGCCCGGCAAGATTAGGTTCGTCATTTCACATAGATCCTAATTGTACATCTACTTGGAATGTAGTGGTAAAGAGGTCTAAGAAGTGGGTTTTGTTCTCGCCTGATGTGATACCTCCTAGTGTACATCCGAGCCCAAATGGTGCGAGAGGTGGCATGCCCCGCTTCCATAATTGAATGGTTCATGAACTTTTACGGTGCAACAAAGAACAGGAAAAAAAGACCTATTGAGTGCATCCGTAAGGTCTGGTGAAGTGATCTTTGTGCCCAATGGTTGGTGGCATCCGGTAATCAACTTGGAAGAATCCATTGCTATTACACGGAATTATGTCGCGACTATGTTTCTTTTGTTTTTAATTATCTCCATAATTGAGATAGTTCTTTTTTTTTTTTTCTCTTTGGACGAGTTCATCTATTTTGATAAGAAGTTTTTCCTTTGGCTCGACTTTATTAGTTGAGTAAAAAATTTTATGTTAGTTCTTATAATGAGTGAGATTGGGCTCCCATAGTGTAACTTCATAAGTTGATAACTAGAGGTACGATACACCGAGAAAAACATGATGTGAAGCAACTTTAAATTTGCACTTGCTACCAAATAAATACATAAAATACAAAATCACTAAGTAATCAATAGGAGTTTTTTTTTTCTTTTCTTTTCTTTTTTATGTTACAAGTAGCTACTCCCACTACTGATTCTTGAAGCTAAACGGGTAACTGGGGAGTACATTATATAGGTGTAGGCAGGTAACATGATATGGACAGGGAAGGAAATGAATAAATGAAAAAGATATAAGATTAGTAGAGCACAAAAATTTTTGATCAGTGCATGCCCCATTCAAAATTTCCCCTCTTGATGTGGTGACATTAGCATAGGCTGCAATGACCAAATAAATCTTTAGAGAAAATGAGATCATAATTGGCAGCATATGAATTACAAACGAAAGACCTCAAGACCACATACTTTGAAGATATTATTTTCTGGAGTCTTAAGATTCATAAACAATATTTCATCGCAACACACTGAAAGAACAAAGCAACAATAAATGGAACTTCAAGAATCAGTACTAAGAGTAGAAAGTGGCTGTTCTCAGGCCTGAAACTTGCAAAGCTGGAATGCAAATCTAATATTTTTTTCATTGCTTTGTAAAATGGCCTTTAAGTTTCATAAATTGTCATTTCCCTAAAAGTTTTGGATCAAGGTGTTACATTACACTAACAAAGACTATCTTCCACCAGAGCATAATGGAATATGAGGAGCATGAAACGGGCTTACAGCATTGACTTTTCGCGGACCGAACCTTCAGTGCTTGTATCTAGGAGCGATGACTGCAAGGTATGATTAAAGAGATCTAGAAATTAATTTTCTTATTGGTTATAGATTGAATACTAGTTTTATTATGCATCCCTCCTTAGATCTAATTCATTCTATGTTAAACAGGTCAAAATTTGGTACGCAGCAAGAAGCAAGTGTTCTCAACATTGATATGAAAGCAATATTTGTTTTGTCAAGTATAATCCTGGATCATACCTTGCAGATGACCTTTTGACCCTCCTTTTAGAGAAGAAGAGAAAGATGTAGCAAGAAGAAGTAGAGACAACTATGCGGGTCTTGAGTGACTTCTTATATATTTTATCAATAAAAAAATGATACTAAAATTTTATTTTATTTCGAATTTGATAATTGTAAATTTAAGAATATTGTGTAAGTTATATAATTTTTCTTTTATTTGCATTCAACAAGATGTAACTTTATTTAATTTATTTGTTTTTTGACCAAAAAATGGAGTAAATAATTGAATTTGAAGGCGAAATAAAACTATAATTCTAAAGGCGAGTTAAACAACCACCCTAAATATTTTATGCGAAATTTAAAAAACAAATGCGAGAAACGTAGAGGCGATTTCAAACCGTCTAAAAAATTACTTACTAAAAAATCATAAAAGATAAAATTGACATCATATAGGTGGTTGGAATTGCCTAAAAAAATAATAATAATTTGAAACCGCCTCAACCAACCGTCTCGGAATTTCTCGACGGTTGGCAAAGCCGCTTCTACACCGTAGAGACGACGACATTATAAGTGGTCTTAAGGTGGTCTGAAAAACCGCCACTAAAATCTCTAGAACCACCTTTAGAAGGCAAAAAAAATTACGTGCAATGCCTTTTTTTGGTGTAGTGTTTATTGGAAAAGGTGTGTTATATCTATATAAGTGGGTTTCCGATTAATAAAAATTAATTTTAATCAGATATTTTGTTAAATATAAATACAAAAACCTTTGTTTTGTTAGTAAAATTCCCAGGTGATTTTTAGTCTAACAAAACGCAGAAAACCTGTGAAAATTTATCAGGACCTACAGTTCATGCTTTCTTACATTGGGGGTTTCTATGATTTTACTTGGACCTTTAAAATTTTTTTCCTAGATTTTTTTCAGGCTAGTTGCTTTGCTGGGATCTTGGATGGTTACCTGTTGCGACGCTTTATCCATGCTATCCATCCAGCACACAAAGTATGAAATAGGGATTGTGTAGATAATGAAATGATAGAAGACACCGAGGGATAGAATGCAAGTGATGATAAACCCAAAGACCAAGTGGTTGTTGACTCACTTGATGATTTGAATTAAACATGCCAATAATTAAGGTCTCAATCAATATCAGTACAGTGGATTCAGATCCGTAAATCATTCAACGTGGTAATGTAAATATTTATGTGTCTGTGCAGTGAAAAATATTGAATGCTGTGGAAAATAATTTTTCGTAATCTTCTTATTTTGTTAACAGGTGCAGTAGCAAAGGCTTTAGACACTCTATGCTGCCTTCTAAGTAGTAATTTGGCTTTTCTTGAAGCTCTTCGTTGGCAAGGCATCAACCTGATCCTTAAGTGCTCTTGTATTACATTAGTGTAGACACATCAACAATTTATTTACAATCCTATATGGCAGGCTGAACAAATAAATATTTTTTCTATTGAGTATTGGATGCAGAAATCTTACAATGCGTACGATATAAAAACTTTTATGACACCTGTAGGTAGATCGTTTAGAGACACGAATACAGCATGAATCTAACGCTTCTAGTATAAAATGCAGATATGTTGAATGGGACTAAACCTTTTATGAAGCAACTTGGCTTTCCTTGAAGCTCTTTGATGAGCAGCCAATTCCATCGAACTTTTTCCTCACGAACAGCTTTCGTAACCTTACTTCGCTAAAAAGGTGTCTTCTAATAACCCACACGGCTCGCGCCAACATTGCATTGGAGAAGAAACATCCGTAGCCATGAGACAAAAATTCATAGAACCTGGTATTATAAAATAAACTAAAATAAAACATAATTTTACTATTTATTTTACTATTTGAAACATTATTTACACTGATATATTACTATTTCTTTTATTATTCATGTCTATTTTTAACACTTTGGTCATCAAATTTTCTAAATTTTTTTTTTAGTTTCAAACTTTAATTGTATTATGATTTAGTCTCATTTTGTTTTAATGTTTTTTTGTTGATTATTTTTGTTATTTAAAATTTACCACTTTAATTTGTCATTTTTAAAATTTTTTTTTCAATTTCAAACTTTAATTTGTTAATTATTTTTATTATTTAAAATTTATTACTTTAATTTGTCGTTTTTTAAATTCTCATTCAATTAATTTAAAATTATATTTACTCACAATTTTGATTTATTTTTCTATATATTTGGATTTTGGAATAAATTTTTAGAACATAATTATTTTTTCTTTTCAAAAATAGGTTTAGATCATTTTTAAATTATACTAGCATGGTTAATATATATAATTTATCTAAAATACATTTTTAGATTAAAAGTGTATTTCAAATAATTTTTTCTCATTTTTTATATTATTTAAAATTTACTAAATTAATTTGTCATTTTTTTTAAATTCTATTTTTTTTTTAATTTCAAACTTTGATTATATTGTGATTTCGTCCCATTTTGTTTTAGTGTTGTTTGTTAATTACTTTTATTATTTAAAATTTACTACTTTAATTTATCATTTTTTTAAAATTCTCATCTCATTAATTTAAAATTATATTTAGTGACAGTTTTGATTTATTTTTCTATATGCATGGATTTTGGAATAAATTTTCAGAACATGATTATTATCATTATTATTATTATTATTTTGTAAAATAGATTTAGTTACTTTTTAAATTATAGTGGCATAATTAGTATATATAATTTATTTGAAATACATTTTTAGATTAAAAGTGTTTTTTAAATAAATTTTCTTGATTTTTTTATTATTTAAAATTTACTACATGAATTTATCATTTTTTTTAAATTCTCTTTTTTTTTTCAATTTTAAACTTTGATTATATTATGATTTCATCCTATTTTATTTTAGTTTTTTTATTATTTAAAATTTACTACTTTAATTTGTCATTTTTTTTAAAATTCTCATTCAATTAATTTAAAATTATATTTACTAACAGTTTTAATTTGTTTTTCTATATGTATGGATTTTGGAATAAATTTTTAGAACATGATTATTTTTTCTTTTGAAAAAATAAATTTAGATAACTTTTAAATTATAGTGGCATGATTAATATATATAATTTGTCTAAAATACATTTTTAGATTAAAAGTGCATTTCAAATAATTTTTCTCGATTTTTTAGAAAAAAAATCAAATTAATTAATTAACAGTTGAAAGTCAAATGTGAAAAATAAAAAGAAGATGGTTGCTCTGTGCGTGAGGCCTATATTCAAGGACTAGTCATGCATAGCATAGAAATAAAAAAAAATATTTAAGAAGGAGAAAAAAAAAGAATTCACATGTTTTATTAATTTGTTTCTTCTTTATATAATCAAAATTATTCGAAATAAAATTTGTAATAATTTTTATTTTAGTCTATTAACTTCAAATTTAGTCAATATATTCCTTGCAAGTTAACTTTTTATAGTATTTTTTGTTTTAAACTGAACACTCTAAACTCACTTAGTATAATTATGATGTATAAAAAAATATTGAATCGTTGTTTTTTTAGAAATTAACCGTGTATAACTACTACTCCACTAAGCATTTACTATTTATTTATTTTTTTCAATATTTTAAAATTAAATTATTTTAAATTAAATAATTAAAATAATATTTTTTTCTTAACTACTCAATGATTCAAATTAATATAGTTTTTTATTTTAATATTATTCATTCTTTTACAAATAAATATATAAAAATTAAATTCATATTTTTTCAAAAATCGATATTCTCATCAACATTAAATAAAAAAAATTATTTGTTTAATTATGTGTAAGCTTTTAATAATTGTTATTTATATTTTTCTACACAATCTTATGAAATACTAAAGTTTTTTTAAAAAAAATTTATTTAATTTTGTTTTTAGTTAATAATCCATGGATTAACAAGGATGAATCCTTTTTCTAAAGAAAAAATTATGAAAAACACAAATAAGAAATAGTTAAATACAAAATTTTTTATTAAATAATTTTTTATACCTTTAATTTCATATATTTTTTATAGATTTATAATATAAAACGGACTATTAAACTGAAATGATTTTTCTAAATAATTTTATATATTTTATCCAATAAACAATATAGCGTGGGCAAAAAAACTAGTTTTAAAACTAAAAAAGGTTAGATTGGAGAAGAAACATTGGTGGCTATGGGATTTTTTCACCTTACGGAATTTGGCCATTTGGCTATGGTGAATAAAAGAAGAAGGCAACGTACATGAAATATTAAAACTCCTATTATCTTGGTAAAGAAATAACTAAATATGGTAATTGTTCACGAATTCAGTCGATTAATTCAATCTTATCTTAATTGTTAGAAAAATATATTACTCATATTCATTAAAAAATTATTATTGGATAACTTGAGTAGAAAGAGTTTCGGTCGTTTAAACAAATAGTTTCGAGTTTTAGTGTTTATATATGCAAAAAATTCTCGGAATAGTTGTTCCCACTTTATGCGTTAGAAGAACAACGAGAGGATAATCTGGGTTTTTAAACTTGAAATATCTTAGAGGATAAAAAAAAAAATTACCTTCTAAACTCATACATAATCTTGATTTATTAAAAAATTATAATCTAAACGCATATCTAATATAGATCTAGTTTATTAAAAAATTACCGTCTAAACTCATACCTGATCCACATTCGATTTATGTGATACCAATTTAATATCAACTAAAAATAATTTATAAAAAATTTCAGTTAAATCCTAATAATTTTAAATGTTTTGGTTTTTAAAATTAATATTATTTACAGTTTGATCCTTTGTGTATAAGCTTTTTCGCTTTCAAAGTTTTCTTCTAAAAAATTGGTCTATATCAGTAGAGTATAAAGTTTGTACAATAAGGTCTTTGTATGTTTGTATGTTTAGTTGGCATTAATAAACTATGAAGAAAGTTGTCATGTTCAGAGACTATATTAATCTATATGTAATTTTTTTATTTTTATTTATCTTAATACCCATTAAGTATTTTTAATACATATTTATAATACCGAATAGAATGGATGTTCACTCTATATCTTACCTATTATCATCCCTAACCAAGATTAGAATATGGTTCTCATCGTGTGTTTGTGCTTATCTAGAACACCTCTTTGATTTGTCACGGGTAAAAAATGAGATGGTGTTAAAATCCAATGTGTTTCAGGGGGGTTAGGTTTTTTAAAATAAGTGGCATAATAGGGTTGTTCAAGCTTCTTATATATATTGTGTGTGTGTGTAGTTAGGGAATAATTTGAGGTTTATTTTGAAAAGAAAAAAGTATTATTAAAATAGAGAGTGGCTCTATGCCTCTACTCCTGGTTCAGTTGAGTTGGTTTAGTTAGGCTTAGTTTGGGTTGTATTAGAAGGCCTATCGATTAACTGTAAGGCAGCTAAGGAGTCTGATGGGAGGAAAAAGCTAAACAATGGCATATAATAATAAGTGAAAAGACAAAAGAATTAAAAATAGAAAAAATCTAAATTTAGTCCCAAATTTATATATTCATTCTCAATTAGATCTCAAATCTATACATTTTACAATTTAGGTTCTAAATATTTCTTATATTTCTCAATTGCATTATTTTTTTAATTCTTTTAATAATTTAAGATTAATGTGCATATATTGTGCACTAAAACAACATCGGTTTGAATGACGTTTTACTAAAATATAATACATATTAACATTTTGAATCTATTTCTGAAGACATAAAATTATTAAGATAAATATCAAAAATACCTCCAACTAAATAGATGGTCTCAAATTTACCTCTTATAGTTTTTAGAAATTCTCAATTATGGATTTCCATCTATTTTTAAAAAGAGTCCTATATGAGATGGATAGAGTAATTTTTTTTTTTTTTAATAAGAAACAACATTATTTTGTATGAAATTCAACATTTTCCATCAAGTGATTCTAACGGAAGTCTTAATTGATAAATCAAAAAGTTTGATGATAAAAAAAAAATAGTTTGGGGGTATAATTTGAAGTTTGCCAAGTTATTATTGAAAGTGAAATAAATAAGAAGGGGAAGTAGACTTGTTTAGTTGATTAGGGAGTCGAACGCACAAGACAGGCAGACGACTCACAAGGGTTTGGGTTTGTTTAGCTTCGCTTTGATGACTGACTTCTTCTGTCTGTTTTTGAGACTCCAATTTCAAATTGGTAGTTTCCCTCCTTTCTCCTTCTCTTAATTCCCTTCCCTTAAAGAAAGATTGCTGGAATTTGTTTATTAATAGTAGAAGAGAGATGAAAGCGCTGCCCTCATCGTCTGCAAAAGCACCTGTCAAGTTCAGGATGTAAGTTTTCTTTTTCCTTTTCTTTAGGGTTTCTTGTTTCTTTCAAGATTTCTTAATTCAAAGAAAACTGAGAGGGAGGAGGAGCAGGCCAACAAAGGAGAATTTAGTGCCAATTCGACTGGACATAGAATTAGAGGAGCAGCGATACAAAGACGCCTTCACATGGAATCCCACCGATCCAGACTCAGAGGTTACAATCTTCGCCAAGAGAACTGTCAAAGACTTGAAGCTTCCTCCTCCTTTTATTATGCACATTGTTCAATCCATTCAGGTCCTGTCCAGCATCTCCCTACTTTTCTTTTTTTGCAATCAATTAATAAGAGCATAAGCATGACTTCAAGATTAATCATAATTATCTTTTTATCCCTTTTCTTCTTCTTATTATTGTTATTCTTATTATATACCTCAGACGCAATTAGCCGAGTTTCGATCCTATGAAGGTCAAGATATGTACACTGGAGACAAGATTGTACCTATTAAGGTTTCTCTTTCTTTCTTGCACTAAGTATTATTCTCTCTGTCTTCCTTTTCGATTCGATTTTGATTGATTGCTACAATATGCTAAGGATTTTTTTTTCTGCTTTGCTTCTTCTCAGCTTGATCTTCGCGTGAATAACACTCTTATAAAGGATCAGTTCTTGTGGGTAAGATAGCACTTACTAATTAACCTTCTTTTTCACTCATATTCATTCATATGCTACATATTCTGCCACCACTATTCATGGATTTGTGCCTTTTAATGCTTTTATTGATCATCAATTTCAGGACATGAACAACTTTGACAGTGATCCTGAAGAATTTGCTAAAACCTTTTGCAACGATTTGGGTATTCAAGACCCTGAACTTGGAGTAAGCATGGCTACTCTATTATCAACATTTCTCTTCTATATCATCCATCTAAATATTGATTCATCAAGACCACCATATCTTATTCTTTGCAGCCTGCAGTTGCCTTTGCTATTAGGGAACAACTTTATGAGGTGACCCCTTTACTATATATTTAATGTTGCTTGCTTCCTTTTGTTTTATGTTAGATTTGGATGTATATCATTTAGTTATACTGGTTTGTTTACCATATCTATATGCTACTTAATGTGCTAGACTGCAGTTCAAAGTGTAGCTGCAGCAAGAGAAATCAGAATAAGTAAAAAGGGACGTCGTGGTGCCGAATATATTCCTGCAAGGTTTCTTTCGCAAGTCTTATCTTATTCTTATTACTCAACAGTTGTTTCATTGCGGAAGAGGATACATGTTGAGGTGCTTTTAATATGAAACATTGTTAGAACTTGAATCTCACTGACTCCCTCTGACTATTTATGGCTCACAGTAGAGCAGGTGGTACTTCATTGGATTTGATGAAGTTGTTCAACAACAAATACAGTGTGGTTCGGTATGATGTTTCTATTTCTACCAAGTTTGAAAAGCTATAAGTTTGCTGAGACTTGAAGAATTTACATATTGTAATGTCATGTTAATTTGCAGTAATTGTAGTGCTTCAAAGCAAGGGAACAGGTTTTTTAATAACTGTAGTTTCCTACCCTGCATCATTACATTGATCAATGCATTTTTTTTTTTTTCAAAAAGCAAATGTACCATGTAGCTTAGATCTCCCTTCTTATATCCCTCGTAGAATACCTATCGTTACTTTGTTATTCTCTTCCTTTCTTTGAAACTGAATTTCGCATAAGCTACCTCCTGTAGTTCTTTAGACTAACTTGCCAATATTTTCCCAAGGATGATAAAGAGAAGTAAAGGAGGAGGGAAAAAAAATCACTGTGCACGTGTGGGGGTTGTATTTAAGATTATGAGTGTCACCCTTATTTTCTTTCATAAAGAAAGTATATTCTACCCCCTGGCCACCCGAGTGTATATTTCCATAAAATGTTATATTTGCATTCATTGTGTTTCATGTTCAATATAGATTGAAGATTGTATCATCATGAAATTTTATTGGCAGGAAGCTTATAAGTGTTTGTTGATTTTCTCATATACCTCAGTAAAAGAAAGGAGTGGGATGTGTATGGCCCTATCGTTGATCTCTTATCAAATGAGGAAGTAGATGCCCTTGAAGCACGGGAAGAGAGGAATGCTTGATCTGTGATTTAAACGATATCAGCTTGGAGCATATGCATTGATGATTGCCAAAAGAAGCTGGAGTCAATTGAGAACCCTGTTCTATGAGATGAGCTTCCCACTTGCTTGTCGTTTTAAATGCACGAGCTTTGGTGTTTTGCGAATCAGCGAATGGCATTTGTCATTATTATGCATCAATGCAAATAGAAGTATTCAAACCAGTAAATCCTGGAGGCAGCATAAGAGAATGCGGCCTTTTGCATCTTCTATGTATTTGAATTAGTCAAAACTCTCAAACAGATGGCTTGGGAGTGGAGAGTTATGTGTGCTTATGTCAAGTATCTCATGATGCTTAAAGATTTCCTTGTAAGAATTCCTTTGGCATTATGGGGGTTTGTAACAAATAATACTGCAATTAAAGTGAGGTTTTCAACAGCCATGTTCTTAAAGAGTGTTTATTATTACATTTCAACTTAAGCTCAGCCACTATCAGTGGCTGCTGCATTAGTTTCGGCTTCTGGCTCCTTTGGAGGTTGAAAAGCTTCAAACGCTGAAGGTAACTAGATGTTGACCATGAGTTTGAGCATGGACGATATGCTTATTGTCCACACTCAAACGCAGTAGGCCAGGCTCCATTTTGGGGTTAATTTGCTTGGACGTACGTCTACTTTCATAATTTTTTTAATTTCATCCCTCATCAATTAATTTTCTTAATCTAACCCTTCTGCTTAAGTTGTGTCGCTTAATCAGATCTTTCCTAGTTCCTTCTTCTTTACATCTCTTAAACACACCAGTTAGTCTTTTTTTCCTTAGTTATAGAAAAGCATGATAGAAAGAAGAAAATAAAAAATTTAATAGAAAGATGAGTAAAACAAAATTCCAATTTCATTTAAACAAAGCCAATGATTAAAGAAAATTAAACGATGAGAGATGAAATTAAGACAACAATGAAAATACAAGGATGCTCGAACTGATTAACATTTTGGACATGTATTTTCACTAATCCAAATTTATACATAGGAAAATCTTTAAAAAATGCATCTCCTCCTATGTGCACAGTCGCAATTTTGTCCCCTTATATATATATATATATTATCAATTTCTTCATCCAAGTTTCAGATTTCTAAAGTTAAGTATTTTCATTCATATATGATCATGAATTTCCATCCAAATTATACTCTTATTTTATTTTATTTTATTTTTTATTTTTTTATTTTTATAAAAAAACGACATTATTTTATAGGAACTTATCCCAACGTTTTATTTTAAATAATTGAAATTACAGGCTTTGATTAAGAAATCAAAAGTATCAAGGAAGTAAACTAATTGAAATTTTGTTTGGACCAAAATTAATACTGACCCAATAGTTGGGGTCGACAGATCAGCCTTATATTTTATTGAGATTTTTTTTTACATAAAATATTAAAATAAATTATTGGATAAATATATTGATATCTCCTTATATAATACTTAATATCTTTTATCCATTCTTAAATTTTTAATTATATCTCACTTGTCTCCGAAAAAATTTGAAATATTCAATCTGTTATTCAGATTAAATTTCTCAATCTTTTTTTTTTTTAAACTAAAATACCATGTATTGAAAAGCAAAAAAAAAAAAAAAAACACTTAAAAGTTATATGACCTATATGTTTTATTTTTCAAGTCTTTAGAATTTTGTTTTATTATTTTTATTTTTTTGTATTTCAATCAAGAACGTTTCGATTAAAAAAGTTATTTGACAGAAAAAATTGATCCGTAGGATAAATTGAATATTTCAAACACTTTTTATAGAATGTAATTAAAAATCTAGAGAAATATGAAAGACTTTAAATATTATATAAGAATAGATGAATATATTTGCTCTAAATTATAGAAAAAATATATGTTTCTTTCATTAATAAAAAAAATTATTCTAAATATTGTAAGTTCAAAAAAAGATAAAATAATTAAAACATTACATAAGTTTTTTTAAAAAATAAAAAGAAAAAATGTATAGTTTAATTAACATCCATATATGTAGTATTGACATTTTTGTGATTAAGGATTTTTTTTTTAGGTTATGTTGTCTTTTAAATGAAATAAGCAAATTAATTATTAGAATCCTTACCAAATACTTATTTGATGTTTTTAATTGATTTGGTTAAAAGCAAAGCAGATAAAAAGACGATTAAGATACATATAAACATCGGGTGAAGAGCAATTGTTAGAGTCAGTGATGTAAATTGACCCTTGTAAAATTGAAATAATATAAAGATTGTCTGTATTTTATCTGGTTAGTACACACCTAACACCCCATTAACTATGACGTTGAAATGTTGATGTTCCAAGCAGCAAGGACTTGAACTTGGATTCTTAAGAATCTAATAATTAAGAAACAGGACAGCAATAACATTTTCAGGATCAAATGACAGTTAATTTCTATTTTAGGAAGTGAATTAAGTAGTTAATTAGATAACGTATGTAAACAACTTATATATACTTACAACAAGATTATTAGGTTTTTTGGTATAGAATTGCCCCTTTTTTCTTTTTTATTTTATAATAAAAAGTGTTTTTGAAATAATTTATGTCGTCAGTCAATCTAAATTTAATTTCTTTTTAAATAATTTTAACAACATATTTCTGCGCCAAGATACTTACAAAATTACGCTCTTTTTTTTTTTTTTTTCTAGAATTGCTTTTTCTTTTTTACTTTATAATAAGATTTTTTTTAAAAAATAATTCATACGTGAATTTAATTTTTCTTTCAATAACCTTAATATATTTTTAATAGCTATACATTTTAAAAATTTTAATAAAAAGAATTTGAATGCTGACCATCCATTTACAGCAGAAAAAGTTGATGCAGTTCATGATTGAAGGTGGACAAATTTATGGCAAGTAACGACCTCCAAAATCAAAATGTTAAAATGTGGGGCAATGGCGCAGCTTAATCGTCCAATAGGAAGAAAAACCATATCCAAATCCAAGAGATAAGGTGCCATTTCTCTTTGGTATGAAGCCACTTAATAGGTCCAATCTATACAAGTGTCTATAGATTATATGGCATAAAAAAAATGCGAATATAAAATGACAATAATATAACTCAAAATTGAATTCCATATTAAATTTAAAATTAAATCTCACCGTGATTTCTCATTGATCACAGGGATTCCCTACAAACATAAAACGTTGACTAAGGATTACAGACTGAAAGTTGCTTCTTCTTCTTCTCTCCCTCTTTTTTTTTTTTTTCAATGAATACAAACTGAAATTCGCCACCGCCGGCATCTTCAAATCTTAATAAAATGGGCATTCTAAAAATCTGCCTGCTGCCGATTAATATTAAGGGTGTGGTTTGGTAATGCGGTGACATTTACATTGATAAAACATCAAATCAATGGTTTTTTTTTAAGTATTTATTAATGGTTTTGATATTTGCATATCAAAATCATCTAAAAATATTTAAAAAAAAAAAAACCATCAAATTGAAGTTTCTTCTCTTTAAAAGCATTTTCAAATGCATCATCAAACACACCTGGAGAGGGAAGGGAGGAAGAAGATGATAGGATGATATATATCTACAAATTAAAGACATATTCTATGCAGACATGTATATATACCAGATCCATGTATGTGCACACATCATGATATGATCCTGGACTGGTATATACACATACGTGCATAAATATGGTGGGTGAGGTTGAGGGAGGTGGGAGGGACAGTAGTATTGTGTATTATAATGTATAGGGGGAGGATGGCCGATGGGGATCAAGAAGTAGTCATATCGCAGGTGGCGGTCTTGGACTTGTCCAGAATCGACCACATCACTTGTACATCTTCATAACCGCATGCCATTACTTCACCATGCAGGTCCATCGCCCTGTTTTCATTCCCTGCAATTTTGATGGTAGGTAGATATTAATGGCTATTTAAACCAAATTGATCAGCAAAAAAATCAAAAATTTCAAGCGTAAGTACCTGGCTGGGATTTCTTGTCTCTGCTAACCGGTTGCGGTTGCTGCTGATTGAAGAAAGTACAAGCTTTCTTAAAAGGAGATGTTATTGTTTTTTTCCAAGAAGTCATGATAGATGTTGTTTTGTCGATATTTACTAGCTGTAGTACATATATAACGTACAGAGAAGGAAGGAAGGAGAAGTTTGTTTCTTTTTATGTATCAATGGAGGGCTAAGTTGGCAGGAAGTACTCTCTTCTCTTCTTTTCTTTTCTTTTCTCTTATTTATGCTATTGGCGTCCTTCAATATATAGAAAGCACTAAAGGATGGGTACAAGATATACAGCACTGAAAATAAAGAAAGAAGGACGTGAAGATATAGGATGAGAGAGAAAGACGAGAGGGGAGGAGAGAAGAGGCAAGATCCGTGAGATGAGCCAAGCTAGAAAGAAGAGGAAGCATCATTCACTCTTTCTCTTTCTTATCTATATAAATAAATAAATAAATAAGTTTTAAATTGGCCCACTGTACCTTAGCACATGGAGCATACTCCCAAACAGGCTCATACACGTGAATGCCTTTTTATTTTATTTTATTTTTCTTTGAATGTGACTGACGTTCGCCCCTTTTAAAAGACTAAAACTAATAACGCCCCACACCAAGTCATATTCACCGACTACTTTACCAGACGCTTAGTATAGGAAAGTCAATTAAAGATTTCATAATTTTTACAAACTAATATAAGTGTTTTTTTTTCAACTTCTGATTAAAAAATTATAAATATATTTGGTTAGAAATAAGTTAAAATATCATTACAAAATTAATTCAAAATTTTGCTTTACTCAAAACTAAACATCTATTATTTTTTTACTTATTATATTACCTTTAATTTTTTCCTAAAAAATAGTATCGTAAGTTATTTATCACACATGCTTCTAAAAACCAAATTTTAAATTATGAATCAAAATAGGTTAAAGTATAAGATTTTTTTTCCTAAACTTCAAAACCTTGATTCGAATAAAGGATTTTTTTTCTACCCCTTAGAGCTATATATCCTTGTCTAATTCTAGTCATTAAATAAATAAACTTTGATAAATAACTAATTGATTTTCTTTCTTTCAGTTATCTTTTTTTCCTTTTCTAGGATAACAAAATGAATTCTTCCAATGTATAAAATAATAATTCCAATGGAGAAAAAAACAAATATTTATCCGAACTAAAAAATTTCGATTTTATTTTCTAAACAACAACATGATTTTTTTTTCAAAAAATTGTTCATTCTCTTAATAATTTCATTAAGAAATAGACGAAAAAGTTCTTAAAGATTCTTTCACTTTTTTTTTCTCAATTAGTAAACATGTTTTTCTAAATGTGTAAATAAAGAGGAAGACATTCGGATGTTGGTTACAAAGTATTTTCGGACCCTATTCTATTCCTCTTTCTCAACTAATCTAGAAGTTATCACTAATACAATAGAAACAAGAGTTACTCGGAGACATAAATGACATTCGATGAGGGACTTCTTTTCTAAGAAGGTTAAGATGGCTCTTCGAGCATATGTACCTACCTATCAAAGCTCCTGGCCTTGATGGTTGTCCACACTTTTATCATAAATATTGTCACATTGTCGATAATGATGTAGTTTGTTCGATTCTTAATATTTTTAACAAAAAAGCTTGCTATAGGTCTATCAATGCTACCCACATTGTATATCAACCTAAAGTGGGTAAACTCGAACCCTCCACAATTTAAACCTATTACTTTATGCAATATTTTGTTCAAAATTATTACTTAGACAATTACAAATAGATTAAAATTGATTCTCCCTTTTATTGTCGACAAATCCCAAAGTGTCATTGTTACTCGGTAGATTGATAAATAATCATGTCTTAATCTCTTTTGAAGTTTTTTACAATATGAAAAACAAGAAAGAGAAAAAATCAAGTAACATCTTAAGCTAAACATGAGCAAAACATATGATAGAGTTAATTGGTATTTCTTGAAAGGCTGCCATGTTAAAACTAGGATTCCATAAAAGCTGGATGGAACTCATAATGCACTCTGTTTTAACTATATCTTATTCGATTCTTATTAATGGCTCTTAAGGTCCATCCTTTAATCCTACAAGAGGACCGAGACAAGGGGATCCCCTATCTCCGTACTTTTTTTTTTTTTAATTTTGTACGAGAAAAGCTATCTAGTCTTATTTGGCAATCAAAGAGCATTAGCAAACTCCATGGTATAAAAATATGCAAACGGACACCACCTATTTCTCATTTATTTTTTTTTCTTGGTGATAATTTATTTTTTACTAATTCCTCAATCTAAGAAGTAGAAGAACTTCTTTGTATTATCAATGACAATGAGAATACCTTTGGTGAGCAAATTAATTTTAACAAATCGAACTCTCTTTTAGCCAAGCTGTTCCACAACAGATTCAATCTTTAATCCAAAGAAGGATGTAAGTAAAACAAGTGCGGGAGCATTACAAATACATAGATCTCTTTATAGTTATTGATCTTTCAAAGAAGCATGTGTTTCAATCGATCCGAGATAGAGTGCTTTAAAAGATTGAAAAGCTAAAAAAAAAAGTCTTTCTACGACCGGTAAAAAGATTCTCATAAAAGTAGTGGCTCGAGCGATTCCTACATATATTATGAGTTGCTTCCTCCTTTTATGATACTTACGTGAGGAATCGGACTCAATCACATTAAAATTTTAATGAGGTCAATGTTTAAAGGAAAGATGAATCTATTGGACAAAATGGAATATGGTGTGTACTTTAAAGCGATCCACAAGGCATTGGGTTAAGAAAATTTCACTCTTTTAATCTTGCTATCTTGCTTGAACAAATTTGGCAATTTATGAATGATTATTCTTCATTGTTTTTCAACCTATTGATGGAAAAATATTTCCTATCCTCTACATTCGAGCATGGCTAGTAAGAAACGTTCTTCAAACTACTTATAGGAAAGTATATTGCATGGAATACTAATTGTCAATGTAGGCACAAGGTGGAAAGTTAGGAATGGTAGAACAATTCGAATTTGGAAGCAAAAGTTACTCGCCATTCTAAGCTAGCCATAAACCGTCATCTCTCGCCCTAACTTTTAAATAAAGATGCAAATGTTATTGAGCTCATTGACGCATAAAATAGTTCATAGAAGAATACTCTTATTCATTACATCTTCATGCCATTTGAAGCCACACAAATTCTCTAAATTCCTCTAGGTCTTCGTTCATCGGAAGACAAGTTAATGTGGCACCATAAAAAAATGGTAACTTCACAATAAGGCATACTTATTTTATAACTTTAGACCTATTGAAAAAATAATATGGAAAATACCAAGCAACCTAACCGACATGAAAAAAAGAGTGTAGAAGCGATTATGGTATATGAAAATCATCCTAAAAGTTAAACATTTTTGTTAAAGAACATTAAAAGACATCTTTCCCTCAAGAAAAAATTAGGCTACTAGAGGGATGAATTTAGACTTGTCTCATGGCTAGTGTGGATACCATTCAAAACATATTATGTTAGTATAAGTGCCTAAGATCCAACCATGATTTGATGGTTTGAGTTATTGTATCATTGTATTATTTATTTTATTACTAATAAAAGAATTTTTTTTATTAATTCTTATCATTTACATTTATTTATTGAATAGAATTAGATAAAAGTCCATATGATATGCATTTGCATTAATGATTGATCGAAAGATGTGAGACAAACATTAATGTGGTTAAATGATATCATTACACATATCAAGTCTAGTATTATCAAGAATGGACATTGGTTATATGCGATTAGACTTGTGAGTGCTATGTTCATGCTATATGATAGTAGTAGGTGATCTCACACCTATTGGTATGATGATGCCAAAGTAAGCACTTAGGAGATTTATGTTAAAAAACATATCACTAGACTTGACTCGCCATGAGAACCCATTTGGTTTAGTCCATGGGAATCTCATATGAGATGGGTATAACTAATAGTCATTTGACTTAAAAGTCATTACGATTATTTCATTAGAGGATTTATGTATTTTGATACTTATTTTGATGGATCTAGTAAAGGGTTACACGTACGTTATTTGTTGAGTACACTAAGAATCTAATGGAGGTAAGTGGATTGAAGGATCATGCATCCTATAGAGGTGCAAAATAAAATAAATTTTTTTCTCAATTTAAAGGCCTAAGATCATGTTATTGAATTAACTAATCATATATTCATGAATTAAAACAATGAATAGAGAATTACCTCTTATAGTGTAGATTTAAACCTTTATAGAAAAGAGTGATTCAACCTTTATCGATAATCCACACAGATCCAAGCACCCACAAAAGAAGCACTCAAAATTACAAAGTGTTAGCTCCACCTTTTCCGACTTATTTAGTGTTTCCTATAGAAATCTAATCAAGGTAATTTTTACGATAGCCTAAAAAGAGAGAGGAGAAAAGTGGTGTGCTAGGTTTAGGGAGAAAATAATTTTCTCATTCTTTTTATTTTGAGTCGTGTGTCCTTTTTATTTTTATGTGTGCTAAATTTTCTCTCTCATAAAATTACTTATTTTACCGTACTTCTCTCTCATATATATTAGAGTGAGGCTTTCTTGTCCTCCAAGAATAAGGAGGGTTGGTAATGAGTCCCTAAAGAACTCTAGGTTGTTGCTTCATAATCCTCCAAGGATTAAGAGTTATTTTACATGTGGGCTTTTGATCTTTATCTTTAAAACATTCATCCTTATCCAATAAAGTTTATGTTTATCCTTTCACCAAAATATCTTTTAGGTTTTTAATTAAACCTATTAGCCCAAAACTATTTTGGCTCAATTAATTAATTTAGACTATCCAAATAAATTAAGTTAGATAATTTTAGGATGCTCGCATTAAGAAATAATTTTTTAAATTACCCTTAAACTTAAATTAGGAAACTAATTTTCATTTTAGGTAATTTACTTTCAAATCTAAAACTAGCTTCCAAATTAGAAAACTAATTTTTAAAATAGAAAACTTTTCATTTTAGAAAACTTTCCATTTTCAAAAACCTTTTCCAAAATAAAAAACTTTCATAATTGAAAACGTTTTAACATCTTTACTTCTCTTCAATCATGAAATGCTTAAACTTATG